ATGACTTATTAACATCTGGTGGTTCTCTGTGTTCACTTTTACTTTAAGTCTAGTTTGAATTTCTAATAAGTCACTCTGAAACCTAAATACTACACTTAATTTCCCTCTCCCACATAAAACAGTACTACTTATATTTGCTATACATCTAAAAAAGAGCTGTTTTCAACACAAGTGATTTAGAGTAAAATGAGGACCAGATTAAATCTTTAGCTCCTTCATCTCTACCCACTGTTGGTCCCCCCTTCAGTCAGGTTTCACAATTGGGATTTTTATCAAGCCTAAATATACTGGAATACAAGTAAGCACATTTTAAATCCATTTGTATTACCTACACTTCCTTTTTATTAAATACAGACGTATCTAAGAGATAGCATAGTATAGTAGAAAAAGAATGGGTATTGTAATCTGCCACTGTCAATATGTGTGCAGCCTTGGAATCACTTAATATCAGGGCATTTGTTTATATCAGGTGTTCAGCAGATAGATATAGGCCTATTTCTCCAAAGATAGCCATTGTACCAGGAGGTGGTCTCCATATTTTGAAATTATTAAAAGACCTTTTAACTTGACTAGGTGCTGTTATATAGTAATACTTCAGTTTGTGAAGAGCGCGAAGAGAACAAAACTTAAAAATCATAGAATATTAAAACTATCAGTACAACCCTTTTGTGTAAAGAGAAGGAAACAATCTAAGAACATCGATTACTTATCTTACATGAAATTGTTTACTGTGAATATTGGTACCAAAACCTCCTAGCTTCTTGCTTTTTAGTTCTAAAGATGATTTCCCTTCTATGGGATACAGTGAGTGAGTGAGTGTGTGTGTGTGTGTGTCCCACAGAAGTTCACTTCCTTTAACATGAAAGACTAACAAGTGATGAACATTTAGGAAATCTAGCCAGTATTTACTAATAAGAAGTGATTATTTGTGCTTTTTGCTTTCCTTTCTTAGTTGCAAATATAAAGGCCATATGCAAACAAATTTTAACTTTTAAAAAATATTTTTAATAATCATTCTTTACTGTTTCAAACAAAATGCAGTCTCTGGGAGCTTCCTTTCCTGCTTAATTTTAAACTAGGTGATATTTAAGATCCCTTCCTGTTCTAATATTATAAATATCTAGAAAGTAGTGTTTGCAATAATAATTACATGTTCAATATATGTATTCCAAAACTTCTTAAGCTAATAACAAATATTTAACATTTACAATGAAGCATGGCAAGAAAGTTAATTTATTGATATCAGTAAGCTGGAAATGATTTAAATACAACTGTAAACATTTTTAAGTTGAGACCAAATAAAAAAGAAACTTAATTTTCTGTGATAATAACAAAAATATACAATTACAGAAGCTAAATGAAAAAGAAAAGATACAATTTTTCTAAAAGTTTTCTTTTACTCATTCTTTCACTCATGTTTATTGGTGTCTTCTAGTTGCAAACATTTAAAACCTTTTTAGAATGTGAACTGTAATAAAAAAAAGGTGATGGTACAATATTAATTTTCTCCCTTATGTATTTTAGCTATTCGAATGTACAGTAGTAGTTTGTTATTGAAAAACTTCACAATGTACCAATTTTAAAACAGCGCATAAACATTTTCCAACATGTTCTAAATTCTCTCTTATTCCTAGGATACCAAAGCCCACCTTATGATAATTCTTTTTAGAGTCTTTTAATAAAAGTGTATCTATATGTGACATTTATATTGCAACTTTAACGTCAGTCACGGGACTTCTCAGTCACGGGACTTCTTGATGAATATTGATCGTAAGAACAAATTATAAGAGTGGTTTTAATGTTTTTGTTAGGTCTTTTAAAAAGAATTTTGTCAAGTATTGGCTGTGATTCTCCTGCAAACATTGCTGCAAAGAGTGGTGTACATCAAACAAGTCAGTCTGGTTCTGAGTATTACATTTTACTCTTAATTGGTGGAAAACTATGTAAAAAAAAAGAACGTGTGTGTGTGTGTGTGTGTGTGTTTGCGTGTGTGTGTGTGTTCGCGCGTGTGCGTGCTGCCTCCACAGGAAACACAAGATGCTAAGTGACCTCAGAGCTTAGTACTCTGAGGTCCCTGGGGTTCCTACTACTAACCTAGAGTAAGCGGTGACCCATTTTCAGAAAATGAGGGTCTGATATCTATCTTTTGTGATGTGATAAGGCAGCCCATCTCAAATAAATGAAGCTAGTAACAACCATAGTGTTCCATTAAGGGTAAAATAAAAATTGACTTAATTTGGGAAGTCTTTTGATAGGTTTGACTTTTAGTAAAACATGATGATAGTGAAAGAGTTCAGAAGAGATGTTTACATTTCCTAATTTAAAACTAGGAAATAAGAGGAGAAAAGTAAATGTTTAAAGAACAGACGGCTAGATGGCAACAATTTCTTCAAATACTTTAAGAATCATCATAAGGAAAGAAAAGGACTAAATGAAGAACTCTAAAAGAATGGATTTGAAAGCCCTTAAAATTTATATTAAGACAGAATTTTCTGATATTTCTTTAGACTTAGAAGTCCATTTTGCTTCAGTTTTGAGGCAGAGTTCATTCACAAGACTCTCCAAGCTCTGGAATCATCGAAAAATGAATTATATTCATTAAATTATTTTAGACACCCTCATCCCTGTGTTTTATGAGCACTAACAGGAGTTAACTCTGTCTCAAGGTTAAATTGTTCAGTATACCAAGCTAGAATAATTGGGTCTCACTACTGCCTCACATCCTAGACTGGCTTAGGCTTCTTGAAAAGGCAAATGTTTATAACCTGCAGTAGGAGAGAGATTCAGACTGAAGAGCTGTGATCTCAGGTTAAGCTGTTTCAACTATTAAATTAGCTTTTCCTTTCAGGTAATGTAACCACTAACAAATTGTCTTTATGTCAAAAAAAGGGAAAGAAATAATATAATTCCTAGGTAAAGAAAGAAGGAAATCTACTCTCTCAAAACTTGAAAAATATTAAAGTACAAAGTATCTTCCTGATTTGAAAGTTTTCCAAACCCCACATCTTCTTTATTTATTCAGAAAAATACTTAAGGTCTTTCTGTAAGGAAACTTGATTTGTCTCTTGCTTGGAAATTCTTTTGTGGGTAACCTGCCCCATAAGGAAATGTAGTACTTCAAAGTCTAACATATCATCAGAACTGCAGTTGAAAGGTCTTCAATACCAATTAAGTAACGTGTGAAATCCAAGAAAAGTCAAGAATTCCATGATTCGGTATTTCCACATTCATCAGGAAGATACTTGATTCAAGTCTTTTTGAATCAAGTATCTTCCTGATGAATGTGGAAAAGATATAAACATATCTTTTCTCTTTATTTGCAAGTTCAAATATTCATTTGGAACTTGCAAATAAAGAGAAAAGATATGTTTATATATTTTGCAAAGAAGTGAACATTCTGATTCTTAAAAATGTGGGTCGAAAAAAATTCTCGAGTTTGATATTATGACAGAAGTGTGGTTTGGAAAAAAAAAAATCCTATTAAAAAAAAAGTCACGAAAATAATAGAGGCCGGAGGTATGCACCGGGAAGTGGAGGTGCGGGGGAGCAACCGAAGAATTGAGAGAGGAGAACGCAGCTCTAGAAACGGTACCTGTCCCAAAGTGGGTCTGCACGCTGCTGTCGCCTTGCACCGCGCTCCTGGAAAGCTCATCTACAAATCTCGGGGCGCGCCAAGAGGGGAAAGACTCCTAAGAAGGAAAATAGAACAGAAAGTATTCTGTTCCGTGGAGTCTCGGAGCAAGGGAATGGTCCTAATGGGGAAAGTCATGTCTCCTTCCAGAGCTGCAAGACTTTCCATCTGTTTCTTTAGGTCTCTACTCCGTCCCAGCCTTGAAGCAAATTGAGTTGGGGTCGACCCCTCCGCGGAAGACCTAAGTTGCCAAGAGACCTAAGTTGTCGCAAGTTCCACCCAGGACCCAGGCAGCGAGTTTCCTTGGTCTTGGAAGTCACAGGCCCCTCTCCTCACACGCGTTGCCTCCAGAGCAAACTGCCCCCCAACTCAACCTCTTCTACTCCTATCCTGCCGCCCCACGGCCCCGGCAGGGGCCGCGGGACGCGGACCTGCGGCGGGAGAGTCACCGCGCCCACTGTGGGTGGGAAGTTGGAAGGGGCGCGGGAGAGGCGGGCGCGTCACGCTTCCCGCCCGCCCCGTGCCCGCCCTGGCGTGGGAACTGGCGGCACAGTCTCCCCCAGGCGCGCCCCAGCGCACGCCGCTAGCCCGGGGGCTTTTACCCCATTCCGCCGCATCCACGCTGCCGGTTTTCCGCAGAGCTCCCGTTACGTGGCCACTGGCTCACTCTCCCTGCAGGCTGACCAATCGCCGCGTGGAGTTCAAGATTCCCGCCGCTCCACTTGCACTTACACCCTCTCTTTTCTTCTTTTCTTTTAACTTCGTTCCGGTTAAGCTACACTGATGCTAAGCTTTCATCTCGAACGTCCCTCCAAGGGGGTTTCACGAGGATCTCGAGCGCAAGCCGCCAACCCGGAGCTCGCAGACCCTCGCCCACGGAGACGCCC